CCACTCACTCTTCCAAAGACCCTTCAGGCATCTGGGCACAGATTCCACATCCGTGGCATGGCTCCATGCTTACTGCATAGGGCAGCATGCTTGTCCTGGCAGCTGCCCATACTGGCACAGTGCGAGCCTTGCGGGAAGAGCAGGAAGAGCAACCAGTGGAGATGGAGGGTCCCAAGAGGAGTTTTGCTCCTCCCCATCATGGCTCTTGGGTTTGCAGGGTTTCCCTGTGAAGTGACTCTCACAGTCTTGATGCAAGTCACGATTCATTAAGAATGAAAATAACGTTTCTGTTGAGGAGCTCCATCTGAGCAGTGTGGGTTTGAGAAGCATCAAACATGTTCCTGTGGGCCCTGCACCTCGGCTGCTTCGTATCATCTTCCCCCCATGTCTACCCACTGGAATGCTGTCCTGTTGGTCCCTGTTGTGTGGCAGTTTCACAGATTGCCCCATCAGGTTGTCACTCATCATCACGAGGAGGACAGCAGAGTAGCTCACAGCTTATTTCACCAACCTGCCCCAGGCCTGGGAGCTGTATGTGTCTGTCCCACGCGTGGCTCCTGTCTTTCCTCCCCTGTAGCTTTGCAAAGCTATGGGTAAAGCTGTAATTGCTGCCCTTGGTAGTCTTCACCACAGCTCCTCCCTAGCTCTGAGACTTCGTGTTCCAAGCCGTGCTGTGACTGGCTGGTGTGCTGTAGCAGAGGATGTTGCCCTTGGTGGTGTTGAATCCTCAGAGGCATGTTGCTGCTTGGGGTGCAATGTCACAACCTCTCCATTATTTGTGCTTCACCCTTGTGCTGTCACCTGACCTAAAAAGCAGCATACTTTGGAGAAGCAGGGTGGTGTAGGGGCAGGGCAGCATCTCTAAGTATCACTTCTAGCCAGTGATTTAGCCCGTGTTGCTGGGAAGTGATCTTCGGAGGTGTCTAGTCCAGTGCCCCACTCAGAAAAGAACTGTCCTCAACACTGGACCAGGTCATCCACAGCTTTCTCAGCAGATTCCTGACAACCTCCAAGGATAGACATCTGTCCCATCGCTGCACCATCCTCCTGGAGAATATATTTTCTCCATTTCCAGCTTGAACTTGGTTAGCTGCAGCCCCAAGAAGTTGACCCAGTCAATATCCAGCACAGGTGCCATCTTGATCATCAATCCCATCTGTTACCAGTGACATGATGACCATGAAGGTGGACAGACCTCTGTCCCTTCCCTACCCAAGGTAGCCATGAAGTTCTGGCTGGCAGGGCCTGCCCATACCCAGCCTGTGGGAAGTGGAGGCTCCCAGTAAAAGCTCTGGTTGCCCTTTCCCATTCCTGTCCTAAAGCAGAACTGGTGTCCACAGCACAAGACAAGGCTGCTCCAGTGCTGGGGGGGCTGGGACTGTCCCCAGGCTGCCCCTTCCCTAGGGATCTGCCACGGTTTTGCAGGGCAGTGTTGATGGGTGGGACTCCTGTGCCTGGCACTGGGCAGGAGGAGCATGGGGACCTGGCTTGGCTACAGGAAGAGCCTCAGCAAACCCAGCTGGGAGAAACGCCTCCTCCCCCGTTCTGCTTCGGGTTTTTCCTTCGTCGGGGGCCTTAAATCATTGCCTTGGAAAGGAGCATTGCTTTCAAAGACCTGTATTCCAGGAATGGCTCCCTCAGCCCGTCTGAATGAGTGCCAATGTGTTTGCAACTGTGTTTAAGGACAAATAGGAAATAATTCAAGGTGCCTCTTTCCTCTTCCAAGCTTAGTCCTGCTGGCAGCAGCTACTGCCGCCCCCCCAGCCACAGTGCTGAGACACAGAGCTGGGCACCCAGGAGCTTTCCCCTTCTCTCACAGCCTCACTGGAGCTAGGGAACAGGCAAGCAGGAGCCAGGCAAGATGGGCAGGTCTATGGGTTCATTGTTGCACTGAGCCTTTCTCCACAAAAGGCTTGTGGTTCATGCAGCGTCTCCAGTGTCTCTGCTGAGCAGATCCTTAAAAAGCGGGAAAGTCAACAGCTTTTTGGGAGCCAACAGGAAAGGAGAAAAAAAATTGTCTGGAGCTTATAAAATTAGAAGAAATTAGAGGAGAATTTGAGTAAGGTGCTGCAACTTAGCTCTGTATCTGTATCTGTCCATCCACCCATCTACCTAGTTATCTGTTGGTCCCTCCATCCATCCATTCATCCATCTGTCCATCTATCTATCCATCCACCCATCCATCTTAACATCTATGTGAACAGCCAGTGATCCACCCAACACCACTGCCATTCATTGGTCCTTCCAACACTCCCTCCCTCTACCCATGCACCCATCTGACTACCCATCTCTCCATCCACCTATGCAGCCAACCAGCCAGCTTTTTATACATTTATCCCTCCATCTTCTTACACATCTCTGCTTCCCCATATCTGCCCATCCATCCATCCATCCATCCATCCATCCATCCATCCACCTATCCATCCATCCACTTGCATAGTCATCCATCCTTTCATTTCCATATAGTTCCCTCCATCCCATCTGTGCCCATCTAGCCATCTGTCTGTCTATCTGCTACCACAGTCATTCATCTATTCATTCATCCATCTCCTGCCTCACTTTCGTTTATCTGCCTGTTTATCTGGGTCCTTTTCAGCTACCTCTCCTCACACAGATGCTTGAGCTTAGATGTTGTCTTCCTGTCTGTCAGTATGTGCACTAAACTGTTTTGAGACACGTGAAATGTACTTGTCTGATCAGCGCAGTCTCTCAAAGGTCCCCACCCTTGGCTAGTGTCTGAGACGATCCTGCAGCATCTCACCAGCATCTTACTAAAATGCAGTTTTTCTCCATCTGTTCTTAGCACTGCCTTTTCTAGCAGTGATAGCATCCCCAGAGATGCTGTTTCCCTATCTGAAGCAGGTGTCCTGACAGACTGTCTGCAGAAGAGCTCAGACCTACCACGGAGTCCTCCAGGGCCAAGCTTCACCCTGAGACTCTCTCCTTTGCAGATGAGCTTAGGCTGTGGGGCTTCACACATGGAATGGCTGAATCATGCCCATCTGGTATCAACAGGATATCAACAGGACCCAGGAGGTGATGTCTACAGAGGGAAAAAAGAGCAGGACAAGCATGGGGGGTGCTTCTCCCATCTCTCCCCACCATCAGCTGCCTGCAGCCTCCCTGTGCTCACTGGGCAGCTCACTGCCTTAAGGTCCTGGGTGGTGTCTTCTTCTATTGATTCATTTAATCACTGTTTTCCTCTACAGCATCCAATAGACGTGGGTTTGGGGGGAAGCTTTCTTTTTTGCTTGTTTTCATTTGTTGCCCCTTATTAGGAGAAAGAGCAAGCAGTTCTTCTCTATTTATCCTCTCCAGGTCACTCATCATTGCGTAGGTGTCCATTGCCTCTCCACTCAGTTTATCCTTAGACAGATAAAGGGATGGAGTCTGCTAAGCCCTCCTTACGCAGGGGCTGTTTCCAGCCTTTGCTGTTCCCTTTTCTGTTCCCTGTTTTCAGCTGAACTACACTCTTGATGTCATGGGGATGGATTTGCGCATGGCTTTTAGGGTACAACATTTTCCATTTTGTTCTCAATCCCTTTCTGAGTACTTTCTAGTGTCGAGTTTGCATTTTTGGTCACCACTGAGCTGATGATTTCAGGGAAGTGAGTGTGGTGACTCCGACATGTATTTCCATGGAGGCTGCAGCTCATTTGGAGCCATAGGGGCAGCAAGGCTCCGTTTTCCCTGTGTGCATCCCAGTGTGTTTATTGACACGGTGTTACTTCCTGGTGGGTCTATACTGTGATACCCTTGTGCAGCACTTCTGCACCCAGCTGCAGTCTGGCTGCCCTGACAGCCTCAGCAGCTTGCTATCTCCTCTCACTGCCTCAACCCACTTTTCCCTGTGAGTTATGAGGGTGTTGGGCAGCTCTGATCCAGCTCTGACCTCTGTCGAATTTCACCGGTGACGTCTTCTGCTGCCAGGTCTGATGGCTTGTTCTCACCTTTGGTCTCCTGACCTTTAGCTGCTATAAATCCTTGCAAGGAGTTTCCTCATGTGTCAGGGCTGCTTGGCTTCCTTGGGAGGCACCTTGTCAAATGTGTTTTTGAAACCCGGGAGTATTCTGAGAACTGAACCACTTTTGTCTGTGCACAAGAGCCTGATGAAGCCTTGAAAGAACCTCATCCTCTGCTGTTCCACCTGTCCTGCTTCACCCTGTGTCATGCACACACACACACAGTTTTCTCCTTGCTGCATGCAGCTCAGCACAGCCAGTGTAGCAACATGGGAAAAATTCAGTTGCTAAGGATCATTAATGACTGTCAGCTCGAGCTCCTGTCCAGAAACCTGAGAAAATTCAATTAGGCAGCTGGTGCCCAATGAGCTGTATTGCCCCACTCTTAAGATGCTAAATCAAAAAGCTCAGCAAGGCATCATGTTATTGTAGAGTGATAAGAAAAGCCAGTCAGAGGGACAAAAACAACATAGAATGCACTAAGCATCTGCCCCTTTCCAAAGCACAGTTAGGTCACAATCGTCCCCCCTGATTTCCTGGCCAGAGAATTGCAGGGACAGCTGCCTGTTACCCACCTCTGCTAGTAAATAACTTGAGGTTGCTGCTGGTTACTGGGCATGGGGCTCTGTCACCTCTCCACTGGGAGTTTCTGATGTGTGCATTTGGTTTGTACCCTGCAATGAGCCACAAAGGTACAAGAGTGGCAATGACTGGCTGGTGTGAGTACCTGTCTGTGCTGTGGATCATCAGGCTGGTACAGTCATGACATGTCTCATCTAAGGTAAAGGTCGAAAGAAAGCATCTTGTGAGATTAAGGTGGTCCTTGAGTTCTGATCTCCTGCTATTTTCCCAGTAGTTCACTCAGGTCTAAGTTAAAATAATTATTATCAGAGCCAAGAGGAGAACTTGAGCTTCCATGGCCACCAACACAGTGTCAGCCCATGCCCCAGTCCTTCCCTCACTTCTTGTACAAGTGATGGTAAGATCCTGCACCTGGGGCTCTAACCTCATCTGCCTTTCTCCTCTTCCTCACTGCAGACAGCCACATCCAGTATGAACAGGTAGGAGCAGATGTGACCATGAAGTGTGGCTCCATGGACTGGGATGCAGCTGTGACCTGGACGGCCAATGGCACCGACATTGATGAGTCCCACCTGAACGGGTCCTACCTGATCCTGAAGAATGTCAACTTGACACAGAGCGGCCAGTACTCCTGCTACGAGGGCTCCTCCTGGCACCTCAAATACCAGACCTACCTACGGGTGGGAAGTGAGTACCCTCGTGTGACACTGATGGGGACAGAAGCGTGCTCTCTGCTCCCATGCTGACCTCTCACAGCCCTCCCCTAACCATGCTAACACATGTACTGTCCAAATGTATGGTTCCCTTTTCCATCCCACTGTACCAGCTCCCCACAGTGATGCTAGAATCAGCCCCTCCTGCCCCAAATTTTGCATTAAAGCCAGTAGATTAAAAATGCCCCAGGAATAATTAGGGAAGGGATGTTTTTGTCTCCATCCAGCCTAGTGCCACAACCACCATCTGTGCAGGTGGAAAGTGTTGGGGCCGAGCTGTCAGAAGGGTTTGTAGCTGGGAAGGAGAAGCCCTGGGCAGGGTTACTGCAACATGCATTGCTATTTCAGAGGAGCTGGCAAAAAGTGGTGGCAGTTGCCATGTGTGTGCAGAGCCCCTGTGTGCAAGCATGTTGGAGGGACAGCTGCAGGTTTCTGAAGATTTTGCCTATCTGAAGCACGTGATGCACTGGTCTCAGTGCAGGAGATGATAAGAGTTCTGCTGTGTTTCACATGATGCTGAGAGCTGATAGCAACTGTGTGTTGGGTGGGCTGCTGTGTTTGTACAGCTGATACAGCAACCGTGTGTTTCACAGCACGGTGTCTGCAACTGGCAGTGGTGGGTGTCTGGGAGCACCAGCCAGTTTCACAGGCTGTGGAATGGTAACTGCTGTGGGTGTTAGGAGGCACCGTGAGCCCCACCAGCTGAGGATGCATGGTGTAGGTGGCCATATGCTCCCAGGTTTGGAGGACATGAAAGAGCCTTTCTTTTCTCTTTATCTCACCTTCTGTCCTTGCACGAGAACCTGGGGGACATTTCCATCCTAGATCATGGTCCAGGGGCAGAGGGTTGCAGGAGGACCACCTGTGTGGCCTGTGTAAGCCCTGCAAATCTGGCAGGAGGGTCTCACTGCACCTCTAGGTCAGACTGAAGAAATTCAAGTTTCAGGGATGCTGCTTGGTGTTGAGCTCATGGCTTCAGATCTGCTGGGAGGGATGATCCTGGCACATGGGTCAAGGGGATGGAGTGGAAGAAGCTAAAAGGTAACATGAGATGCAGACAAGAGTGGAGCAGTCAGCATAGGAGGAGATTTGGCAGCAAGTAGGTGTCAGGGCTGGGAGCACAGCAGACAAGAGGGCAGTAGCAGGGTCAGGGGCCCCTCAGCTGCACCATCAGGGTGAGGAGATGCTCACAGGTTGTCCAAGGGAGGGAATGCAGGAGCTTGGTGCAGAGCAGGTAGCAGCAGGAAGAGGCTGTGCAGATTCTCTCCTTGGACATCACATTTCCTTGCTCACCACATCCCATCTGAGGAGAGGTCCCAGGCCGTGCCAGTCCACAGGGGGCTGCAATCCCCTCCCTAGACCTCTCTTTTTCTCTAGAGCTGGGCTCTGGCTCAGTCCTCCTCCTCTGCAGCTGTGGCATCGCTGTGACTTTGCAATGGTTCTTCCATCTGCTAAGCACCTCGCTAATAGTAATCCCCGTCAATCCGCTCAGGGACCCGTGGGAATTGCTCAGTGTTAGAGCCCAAATCCTGCTGTTTCCTGTTACCACGTGTTCCCATTTGCTGGCAGCTCACAGCCCCCATGAGCACTGGGCAGCTGAGGAACCTGGTCAGACACTGCAGGGGCCTCCAGTCTTGGGACAGAGGGTGACAAATAAATAAGTGAATGCCCAGTGTTGTTGATGCAATTAAGTATGCAAGGAACTAATCAGGTGAGACGCTTTTAGTGGCAATTCATTTAATTGCCTAGATTTTAATGTAATGTTCTCCATGAGGTTTCTTTTCCCAGGGCTGCCACCCCCAGCCCCTGCCTGCACCACCACCCCAACTTTCCTGCCTCTGTGGGGCATGACTGACTCCCTGGAGGTGCACGGGCTGCTGTGGAAGAGCATCCTGGAAGGAATGGAGATGGAGGTGCACATGGGCATGGGCATGGGCATGGGTGTGGTGATGATGGAGATGGAGATGGGGGGGAGATGGGGTTGGAGGTGGACATAGAGATAGGTGGCTCACAGGAGGTTTGCAGTACGGCCTTTTGGTAGCATCCCTGCTACAGCTGAACACACTGGGAGCCCAAACCTGGGATTTGAGGGATCTTGGACTCATTTAATTTCAATTGCAAGGGAAGTTAAATAAAAACAGGCCTGTGCCTGCACTTTCCCCTCTTTCTGGGGCAACAAGAAGGATGACGGCAGCTGGGGTGAGGGGCTGGGGCCATGTGCAGCAAACTGCTGGGGATCTCATTAAATAAATGGTGGAATGTGCCCCCCAAGTGAGGCAGGGGCACTCCTGGGCAGACAACGCTGCAGGAAAGGTGTGAGGAGGGAGCAGAGAAGCGGCGAGGACCAGGAATTTTTTGAGTGTCAATTAGCAAAGTGAGCTCTGTCATGGGGGTCAGCAAGTGCAGGGATAAAGGGAGACCTGCCAGGAGTCAAGCTGAGTGAGACCTTGCAGAGGAAATGAAAAGGGGGGTTAGCCATATAAATATGGAGCAAATGAGGAGAGAAGAGAAGAGCTGGCTCTGCAGCCAGGTTTCAGAGGACATTAAAGGTAAACTCAGCAGAGCCCAGTACCAAATGAACCGGGTCTGAGCAGTGATGCTGAGAGCAAGGGCAGCACAGGCTGGAGGGGAGGAGGAAGGACAAAACCTGGAGAAAATCCTCCACAGTGTAGGCACCTTCAAAGGAAACGATGCATTGAAGGCTGGGGGAACACCTCATCTGCAGGTGAGGATTTGTCCTGTTCATTAGCAAGGCTCATTAGCCACTGAAAGGTCATTGGTAGTACCCAGTGCTGCAGGGCAAGGCAATGTGTCTCCTGTGCTTGAGGGGAGGAGGAATCCTGATCAGACAGCCTGACCCCACAGCACAGCAGGTCTGCAGGGTGTGCTTGGAAGGGGAAGCAGTTTAAAGACGTGGAGACAAATGGAAACTGGGAGAAGAATATAATGGGGACTTGCCAAGGATATATCGCACCAGATTAACCTGATAGCTCTCTTTGATAAGGGAACTGGTTTCTTAAGCCCAGAAATGTGGCCAATGTAATCTGTCTTGACTTCAGTGAAGTATTTGCTATGATGCCACATGGGAAATTATGAGTTAAAGCAGAGAAAATGTGGATTAGTAGAAGAGTTGGAACATGGCTTAGGAAATGGCTAAAGGGGATCAGATTGTGCTGAAAGGGGAGCTGCTGGGAGGGATGGAGGAGCTTCAGTATTGGCCTTCAGGCCACTCTTGATAGTGTTCCCCATAATGGCTCTGGCACAGAAGGAGCAGGGAGCTCTAGTGGGACATGCCAGTAGTTGCAGAGGGACCCCAGAATTTCTGGAGTGGTAATTTCACTCCACAGGGGCCAGGATGCTGCATAAAGAAGCATAAAGAAGTTGTCTCATCAATGCACTCCAGTAAGCAGGCAGGAGGACATGGGTAGCCCAGCTGGTCCTTGTGTTGGGGTTTGACACCCATGTCCACATCATGGACGACATGTCCAGGAGCCTACTACCTCCCAGAGTAGTGCATGCGCTGGGGGTAACCAAGTTGTCTTGTCCCCTGCAGAGATGGGGACACCAGTGTGCCTGCAGTGGGGACAGTCCGGATCCTGGGATGGGGTGACCAGGGATGGAAAACCCACCTAGTAGAGGAGGAAGGGCCCACAGGCTTGTGTGTCGCTAGAGGTCTGAGATCACCCATCTCTGTGTGTGAAGCATCTGAAGCACAAACCACCCCAGGGAAAGGTGGTACTTCTCCAGGGCAGCTTGTCCCAGGAAACTTCAAGCAGCAACACGTTGCTCTGCCTCCCATTTTTCAGGCATCTGAGCAAGGGATGAAGCACAGGAGAGCAACCAGGATGCTCCATGTTCATCTCCAGTGGATCGTCTGCCCTGCAGCCTGGAGAGCCAGGGCTGCCAGGGCAAGGCCAGAAGCAGCAAACAAAGGGGCCAGGGCTTTTGCTCACCAGGAATTCCTGGACTGAGCCTGGTGACTGAGCCTGAGGAGCAGGCAGGGGAAGGCTGTGGGTATCAGGAGCATAGTGCCGGGCTCCCGGCTGCCCCCGCGAGCTGCAGCTCTGCGTTTGGAAACGCGCAGCCAGAGGGCCTGGGGATGGATATAACAAAGACATTGGGAAATAATGCGCTCTTGAGGTTTGGCACACAGCTCTGTACATTACAGAATGTTATAAAAATACTGCTAATGGGCCAGAGAGGAGTGGAAACGCGCGGCAGAAAGGCTGCCAGAAGCCGGAGAGCGCACATGGGAGTGGGGAGGCCTGGTGTGCAAAGAGGGGAGGGAGGGAGCTGGGGCAGGCGCCTGTCCTTCTTCTCCCATCCCTCTGTCCCTTTCTATCCTGCTCGTCTTCATCCTGACCTGGTGGCTCTGCCCTTTTGCACCTCTCCTTGTTCCCCCCTGCCCATCTTTGGGGGGTGCCTGAGTGCCGCTGGTTGTGCTGCTGCCTGCTGGCCCAGGGTGCAGGCAAGGATGGGGTCTGCGTGGGAGAGGAGACTCAGCAAAATCCACCCAGCAGCGGGGACACAGGTCAGGGTGCAGGCAGCACCTTCCCATCACACTGGCGGCACAGGGGCTCATAGCTGGGTGCAAACACCAGCCCTGCCCCATGGGCGTTGTTGCCTGGCAGAGGGGGAGCTGCTCTGGGCTGGCCTCCTTCCTCCATGTCTGTCACTGCAGCGGCTGGAGAGAGAAAGGGGAAAAAACATGCGGTTTGACGGAAAACGACATGGAAAAACAACCAAATTAACAGAAAAACAAACAAAGCAAAACCAGAGAGAGGGAGGGGGGAAGGGGCAAAACAACAGGAACCACATGTGAGCAGGGAGGCCGGGAGAGCCCAAGTGTGTTCTCTGGCCTGATTAGCAAACGATCAAACATCGGCCACTAATAAATAATCAGAGCCTCCCTCTTCTCTGCCTCAGAAGTCCCTTTCCTCCCAGCTGGGTTCCAGCTGCAACTGCAGGGTTGGA